ATGCGTAACATTTGTGCTGGGCATTTTGTATATTTGATATGTTCCACTATGATCAAATACCCCAAATTATGCTCAGCTAACTCTTCTGAGTAAAACAATAACCACAATGTATGCCTTTGGCAGTATTTCATGAGGCTACAGTGCCATATAGGAGACCTCACCATTTCAGTTTTTACAGTAGAATTTTGTTGTTCATATGTTTCATATGTTGCTCAGCTATGTTGTCTGAGTACAGCAATACCCCCGCGTGTACGTTTCCCAGGTATATGTGGATGTTGAAAGGGGCAAATTTGAGACTGAGCTACGTCAGGGTTGTTGCACAATTAGAATTTTGACACTAGGTCCATGTCCCATTTTGGGGCATTTTTAGCAGGTTGATCATTCAAACTACCCCACAAAGACCTACTATTTTTTTAAAGAAGCCATCCCAGGGTATTTCAAAAGGCCCATTTTGAACCTTAGGGTAGGATCATTTTTTCGCTAGTTAGTACCAAGTCTAGTAGTAGTAAGCATTTTCTCTGCCTTTTTGACACACACTTTGAAATTTTACTGCATAGTTTTCGATCCTTAGGTGTGCTACGGCAGTATAACGCTTCATATGTCACTCAACTATGTCATCTGAGTACAGAAATACCCCTGTGTGTACCTTTCCTAGGTATATGTGGATGTTAAAGAGTCAAATTTGAGACTTGGCCATTTCATTTTTTTTTCAAACTTTTAATTTTGACACTGGGTCCATTTTGGGGTATTTTAGCAGGTTGCTGTAGAATCAGGCAAATATTAATGGGTCAAACTCTGAGGCACCGTCTGTCACCTCTGAATCGGCTGTCAGAATTCTCTAAGCTGCCTCGGCACTGAACTTCCTAAGCATTTTTAACTTTTTACAAGAACTTTAACAAAACAATGTTATAATCATTTTTATTGATTTATTTTTATTTTTAAATTAAATGTTTTTATTGCAGTTTTCCAAATAAAGATTGGGAGGGGTACAGAAAAAAGAGAAGGGGTGGGATAGGGTAGGGGGTATGCATTGGTACATTGTGGTACATGACAACAATATGGTTGAGGTATACATAGGTCATTATCGCAGTGGATTACATTTTTGTATGGGAGTCGAGTAGAGGCCCTTGTGGAAATTTCCTTGCATGCTGAATATGGACACTATCTGCAATACATTGTGTGGTGTGTTTAGGACGTTGTGTGATATTTTTGGACATTGTCCCTTGTTACATTCTCTATTGATACATGTTACAATTTTATTTTGTGTTTATTTTCTTGCACCCTTACCAGATCTCCATGTCACGCTTGTGTCTCTTTAGGTTATGTGAGGGCAGTGGATTCGAGGTATATCCTCTAGTATAGTAGGTCGTTGGGCTAAGGTAAGTTTTGGTATTCGTTTGGTGATCAAGAGTGGTGGGAGAGCAGGGCCACCCCCATTCCAGGGCAGTGGGCCATAGTTTGCGAGACACAGAGATGGGTTTACAATTAGTGGGTGATGGTCTCAGGTGTACCCACAGTCCTAGATGCTTTTTAGGGTGGGTTTTAGGGTTCGGAGGTAGTAGGCCCACTACGGGTTCTGTACCGGTCAGTTGGAGGTCCTGTGGGAGGTCTGTCTGGCCCAAGAAGTCTGAAAGAATTCTCTCTGTGCTGCGGTCTTAGTGGACATGCGTTCATATATGTAATATTGTTGGATATTGGATAGTAGTTGGGGTTGAAGGGACAGTGCAGTTGTTTTCACTGGTTCGCGATTAAGTTTCTCACCGCTAGTGCGACCATTGCCATTATGCATTTTGTGGGCCTCGGGGTTGACTGGGGACAGGAGAGGAATAGCCCAGTGTGTATGTCAAGGGATGGCTCAGTGATGCCAATGGCCTGCAATGTGTTCAAGGCCTCCTCCTATAGAGGATGTATGCGTGGACATGTCCACCAGATGTGGGTCATTGTGCCTTTGTCAACCCATCTCCAGCAGTGTGGTGAAACTGACTCGTACATTTTGTGGAGCCTGTGGGGTGTTAGGTATCACCTGTAAACCAACTTCTCGTGGGTCTCAATGTGTGAATAACAGTGTGTGAGACCTTTTGAGGGTAGTAAGGGATGATCACACTCAGTGAGCCATTGGGCCACGAATGCCGGGGTTGTTGCGGTTTCATCCTCAAAATAGTTTGGTAGCATAAGGCGAGGGATTTGGGCTTGGTCAGGGCCCGCCAGCATCTCTCATACAATGCTTTGAGATCGGCAGAACTTGAGTTACCAATTACAGTACAGTGGGAGACATGAGAGGGTATTATGCTTTTGAGTTGCATATATGGAATCACAGAGAAGTTAGGTAGTTTGAATTTGTTATTTTTTTGTGGATTTCTTTTTTGTGGATTAATACCAATAGCATACGCACTAAACTCCCCAATTTCCCATGAACTATCATTCACCCCAATCAACTAAATACAAGTAACAAAAATATTAATTGTATTGAGAACTTATTGGCCCTGAGTATGAAATACTTTAAAGCAGTTCGAAATACAAAGGCTGGGTTGAGAGGGACAATCAGGGCAGTAAAAACTTGTCTCAGTTCGAACGCCCCTCTAGTAACACGCCCTGCATCATTTCTGGTGGAGGGAAGATTTGGAAGGGTGGCATCTGAAAGCAGAAGTGACCTGTCTGAATACCTCTGCTGCTAGGCCCTGCTGATGGCTCCCCACTATGGCACTCAGTGAGCAGCACAGAAATTAGCTGAAACTGAAATGTAAGAAAATTACATTTCAGCTGAGGATTTGCCTTTCTGAAAAGGATGAATGCATTGTGAGTAGCCATTTGCATTAAATAAATGCCCAATTTCTTGTACCAGCCATTTGCATTAAATAAATGCCCAATTTCTTGTACCAGGCCCTGGTCTTTCTCATTATCAGATATGGCTGCAGCAGTTGATCAGACAGGTCAACTCCCCCCATGTGTTTATTGTACTGCTTAATGCAGACATGCAGTCGTCTTGTTTCCTGTCTGCCACGAACTGCGACCCTGCGCGTGTGTTCACTGTGCATGGTAGTCAGGATGAACACCTCCTTTTTGTCTCTGTATTTCAGAGCCAACATTTCATCCTGGTAGAGAGCAGCTCTTTCCCCCTTTATAATTTTTTCTCTGCTAGAGCCTTCGGGAAGCCAGTGCGTGTCTTGCGGATAGTGCTGCAGACCACAGTCTCAAAACAAAATAGTATTTTTTGGAGTGGTATGCTATTATAATAATTATCAATGTAGAGAAGGTACCCTTTGTTCAGTAGCAGGTTCATTAGATCCCAAACTATTTTTCCGCTAGTCCCAACTAACAATGTCCAATAACAATCGGCAGTTGCTGAATCCTGTAAGGTATTGTCATGTATAAAAATGGGAATTATAAGGACACTATAGACACCAAAACAAATTTAGCTTAATGAAGCACTTATGGTTATTGATCATGCCCCTGCAGTCTCTCTGCTCAATTATCTACCATTTATGAGTTAAATCACTTTGTTTATACAACCCTTTTTACCATGCATCTGACTTGCACAGCCTTCGTAAAAAAAATTTAAGTTCCCTTATTGCACAGTTTGTTTAATCTAGAATTTCTTATCTCCTGCTATGTTAATTGTTCTCTAGAACCCGCAGGAGCTTCCTGTGTATGATTAATGTTCAATTCACAGAGAGGAGATACAAACGTCTAAAGGAAGTTAACATCTGATTGAAAATGAACCCATTTGTTTTCATGCAGGCTGTATGTGTCAAAGCCAGTGGAAATGTGGCTAGGGATGCATAAAGAGAAACAAAAGTGATTTAACTCCTAAATGGCAGATAATTGAGCTATTAGACTGAATGGACATAATCCGTAATATTTAATATGTTGGGTAACAGCTTCCTTATCCAAGGAGAGGTCTGACTGCCCTTCTGAAGTTGAGATGGAATTTTTTCCTACTTTGTTGCAAAATTGGAAAGGGCTTCAAATTGTGTATTTTTTTTTTAGGAGGTTTTGCCTACATTTGGATCAACAGCAGAAACAGATGTGAGAGAGGCTCAACATGATGGACTTAAGTCTTCTAATCAACCTGTGTCACTAAGTACATGAATGTTAACGTGTCTCTTAAGAGAACATATCTTTCAGTGCAAAGCGAGTTCATTTTATTTTTTTGCTGTTCCCTGGGAGTGTGATTCATTTTCATTGTTAATTATGAATGTTGCCTATCTTTTAGAAGATAAAGAATGTAACGTCTAAAGGTGTATGCAGCAGCAGTCACAAGATTCCATTTATCGAGGGATTTTATGTTTTGAACATTTTTGTTTCATTAGATTAATGTCTTAAAATGTGTGAAGACCCTGATAGTGACAGAGGCACTTTAAATGTTAGACAAGTGTGTTCCAAGGGTTTTCCAAAGTTCTTCCAGGTATTTAGTTTGCTAAGTGTCCAATGATTCAGTTGATGTATCAATAAATCAACTTCTGCAGGACTGTGATCAATCATGCTTGACTGGTTAAGTGAAGGTATAGGGCCCTTTTTTCACAAACCAATAACGGTAAAAGTGTTGTCAAAAAGTATCATATCGGTGAGATTGTGATTGATTTGACAACCATTATCATGTTGAAAAATTATCAAATGATGGAATGTAATTTATCCCTAAGCTTTTCCTCAATCCTGATTTATGCATCTTTCCCTAGACAATTTAGGAAGTAAAATGAATATCAACAATATATTTTTAAAGAAAAACTTTTTCTTAAATATCTGTTTCTATGCATCATTGAACGAGGTAGGCAATATTTGCTAATTAGCGTAACCGATATATAAACATCATGAATGAGACTTGCACATAAAGGCATTGGAAATAATATATGTTATCAGCACTCATTAAGGGACATCCATATGGCAGTTGTTAGACATGGCAAAATTCCCATCTTCTCTGTAATATTTGCTATGAATACTCAAGGACAGTCCCACTAAATGCATCCTTTAAAATCCTTTACAGAACATTGGCATGCTAAATAGTTTGAGATTGACTTATAAATAATGCATTCCATTTTCTTTCTATATGTATCTGATAATTGCCCCCAGAGCTTGGCGTCTTATTCTCCATGCAATTTGATCAAATACCTGAGCACATGTGCTCGACAAATTGAGAAACGCTTACGAGTCCTGATGGAGTAAAATAAAAGAAATGCTTGCATTGATTAGGATGCAATGATGAACGCGTTGTTTATGCTGCAGATAGTACCCTGTTTTTAGAAAGGCAGATGCTTAAAATTGAATCAATTTGCTGGCAACCTTTTTGTATGTACACTCAGAGCTTGTTAACAAGGATCTGACATATGTTATAATTATTCTGGATGAAATGGGCAGACCGAAGTAGAACGATTAATCATACGGAGTCTTCTTTGGAGTGATGGACCAACTGTGATGCCAGTTTGATATCAGTGTAAAACAATGAATATATTAAGCTGAAACAAATACGAATGGCAACACCGTATTTGTTCCAAGCCTTGAAGGCAGGAGTTGAAAGAAATCAGGGGTTTTGTGCAGGTTTCTTGCTCCAGGTGTTCATTCAAATGTAAGCACACGGGACCTCATTATCCATCACAAAATCTAGGCCTCTAACTGTTCTAGGCATTTTGTGTATGGAGAGGAAATCATTATTTTTCCATGTTCTTGTTTATAGTCATTTTTTTTCGTAGAAAAGTAGGGATACTGTTCTTTTTTTGTTTTAGTCAAGTAATTGACACTCGTGGAAGGTCATGGAACAAGTTTGATTACATCTCGACTTTTCATTCGTTATCAATAGATCGCTTGTTTTTAAACCTGACAGAATGATTTATTGGGATTTGTCACCTTCTAAAAGTCAGGATGATGGATCACAGTCTAAAGCCCTTTGGCAATGCATGCCTTCTTTTTTATTACTTTCCTTCTTCTTCGGTAATTATACACTTTTGGAAGAGGATATTTAAAATGTTATATTTACTAGTTTATGCTTATTTATGTAGATAACTAAAAAAAATCCATATGTGCTATCCAATTTTCAAAGCGTTTTTTTTTTTAATGTGTATGGCCACAAATAGGGTTTGGTTTCAATATTGTTGCGGACTATCTGCTGTAAGCGGTTGTTGATTACCAGCTGGTAGATATTAGTGGATACCAGTTATCAACACTGATACCGATCACTACATAGCGATTAGGGTAGTTAAAGTAAAAAAAAACAACCAAATAATAGAAAATGTAACAACAGATTATCATAGCAACACCAACTGGAAATCAATATAATTAACCCTTTTAGTGTCTCAGCAGACAACACCTGGAGCTGTCCTTGTCTTTGATAGGTATATGTTTACTGTCCAACCACCTTACTCCAATATCCACATTTTAAGTGCTTTCCTTGTCTTTTACCGTTAAATCATGGACACTTTACACCAGCTCAGTACAATCTTTTTTTAATGTCTTTTTTGTAAATAATGTCTCAGGTTTCAGGATGATCAGTAAAAACGTGATATAATCCCATTCTTAGCTAAACGTGAATTTTTACACTGCAAACAAAAATAAACAAAACAAAAGTAAATACTCATTTCCCTTTGTCACTCTGTAAAAAAAAAAAAAAAAACAACAATAAAGATAAATCACTTTTTGAAGATAAAGGTTTAAAAGCAACATCCACGCAGTGTTTGATATAAAACTCTGTGGATTGGACTACGCTGAGCATTTATCTGTATTTTACACAGTGACACGCACATTCAGAAAGGAAATCAATAAAATTAGCCATGCTTCTCCTCAGTCAAGAAAATAATAAGAGAAACAACCATGATATCTCTTGTAAGCTTTCAACATTTCTACATTTAATGGCAGACGCGGTTATGTAGAAGCACTGCTGACAAGCTGTACAAATTACGATCTAAAGCAGATAAGATAGATTACTGAAAAATATTGACTTGGTGAAAAGTCGGTTATGATTTTTTTTGGTTTTCTATTATCGTACTTTAGTTGTTATGAAATTATTTAAGAATGGAATGTCACAGTGAGTATTGTAACTAGCTGGAATTGTTTTCTCATACAGCTTGAGACTTGTGGGAGGGATCATGAGGGATCCTAGAGGCTCATGTAATTTTAATGTATATGCAATGCAGTTAATAAAAAAAAAAAAATTGTTATTTTTTATGTAGCTCACGCTACAAGGCATCATAACTGGTGATGAATGGCTCCATTCTAGCAATATTCATGGAACCCCGTCTTCAAGTGTTTGAGTCTCTCTTCCCAACTATGTCTCTCGTCTCTCCATCAGCCGTTCCATATGTCTCCTAGTCTCTTTCTCCTTTTACCTACATTCTTTTTTTCCTTTTGATAACCATTCTCACCCACTGAAGCTTGTGTCCCCTTGATTGATACATTGACATGATTGTTTGACCCAGACAAGACAATCCAAGATACTAACCAGGCAATAACGTTTATGTATAAAACATTTGCAGCAGGGCTATTTACTAAACTCTTTAATAGATAAAATCTGAATTGTAAAACAGACTACAAAAGCTAAATTTGACAACCCTTCATGTAGTGGTTAATCCTTTACTATCCAAGGAGAAGAACAACGGATAGCATATCCTATATTACTGGAACTTGGAGTGGCCAGGCTTAAAGGGACACTACAGGTACCCAGACCACTTCAACTCATTGAAGTGGTCTAGGTGCAGTGACCATGTCCCCTTAACCCTGCAATGGTAAGTATTGCAGTTTCTGAGAAACTGCAATAATTACTTGCAGGGTTAAGACAGCCACTAGAGGCACTTTCTGGTGGTCAGGCGACTTTTGGTCACCTAACTGATGCTGCAAGGACTATCTATACTTACCAGAACAACTATGATACACTGTAGTTTTTCTGTTAACTATAGTGTCCCTTTAATGGTCAACAGTGAAGACAAATATATTTTTACAAAGATAATATTATACTTCTTGGTGAAACTTACAAAAAACCTCTTCACTAGTTTATTGTTATGGTGCCAGGAAATATATGGCACTGGCTTACCTTTAGGGGTTAACCTGTTCATTTATGGTTTAGTCTTCTCTGGAGCCCCACTTAGCTCTGCCTGTTTACTTCTGATGTTTTCAGATTCTTTAATCAGAAAACCTTCAACTGCTGTGGACAGGGGCACCACTGATTGGCTTGAGAAATGTACGTATTTTTATCAAGCATTTTTTTTAAATAGAGAGCTATTGATTAGTCAGCTGGCAAACTATTCTTCTTCCTCTAGGTTGATGCCTCAGCCATTGCCATTGGCGGTTCTGTCCTAAATAGGGGGAAAAGATGATCAGTTCCATACTGTGCCCTTTTACTCAAGTATATTAACACCAAACTGAAAAGAACTATGATGCGGGTTAACAGTTGTTAGTAGCAGAAATTGTGCACTGGCAGAATGGCGAAATCTGCTGGAGAGCACTCTTCTGCTCATTACAGTGTTTATAGACCAAACATCTACAACCTTCCTAGCTCTAGTGGGCTCTGTTTCTCTCATAATTCCAACTACAGGACATATCGTCCTGATTCAAAGATTCAGACGGCTGATGCCTTATCCAGGATGTTTGAAGAGTCGGATCTAAGTAAGGAGACACCAAGTACCATATCACCTACTCATCAATTTCTTCCTGTAACCATGTCGATTTTAGATAATATCAGAATTACAGATATACATATCAGGAATACCAAAGGTAACTCCTCCTTTGCAATTCAAACAAGGACTCTGATACTATGACTCTCAAATTTTCATTCCTCTTCCACTTCAAGGAATTAAGATTGAGATTCTCAATCTATTCCATGAAATCCTGCCATCAGGTCACTGTAGAATCACACAATCTCTAGAAGGTATCAGTCACTATTTCTGGTAACCAACTATTACTAAAGACACCAAGGAGCATGTCCATTCATATGAGGTCTGTGCTCGGTCAAAGACTCCAAGACCAAACCAGTCCATTTCCTTCAACCTTCCCCTGTTAAAACTATACCCTGGTCGGAGATTGACATGGATTTCATTGTGGGGTCACAATTTACATCCCACTTTTGGTCTCACTTCTGCCGACACTTAAAGATCCAATGCTGTCTATTTTCTGCATATCATCCACAGACAAATGGGAAAACAGAATGGACTAACCAAACATTCGAACAGTACTTCCATTGTTTTACCACCTACCTACAAGATAATTGTCTGTCTCTACTCTCCAATGCAGAGTTCTCATATAATAGCCACATACACCACTCAACAAGTGTTCTCTGTTCTTTGCAAACTACAGTCCATTGGACTCCCAGATCTACCATGCCCTACAACTGCATCTGACGTAGCCCAAGGATTAAACAAGCATAGAGAACAACAATGCCTGCTACTGTTGTACTGTGGTAGTTGTACAACAACGATATAAGGGACATACCAGAACAAAGAGATCTATCTTTAAGCCAGGAGACAAGGTATGGCTGTCCACACAGAATATGTTTTGTCCTGTCCCTCAAAGAATCTAGGACCATGTTTCATCTTAACCTTTGAAATAACCAATGTTAGCAATCCTGTCACAGTATGTTTGGATATCCCTGCCTCCTATCAGGTCCATACAGTGTTCCATATATCCCTGCTCAAGCATTGGAAGCAATATCCCCATCGCAATATTGCTCCTCCTCCACCAGTTGTTGTCAACGGGTCTGAGGAGTAAGAAATTCATGAGATCTGTGACTCCAGAAGGTGCAGGGGTTGTGAATATTTAAGAAACGTTATGCCCCATTAGAGCTTTTTTGGGAGCTGGGAATGTTCATTTTCCTGCCTTTGACTCTTGACCTCGCTCTTTTGCTGTCAGCCATGATAATTGGACTGCTTGATATCCCTTCCTGTCAGCTCCTTTCTGGATTTATTGTTAAGACACCCCCTCTTCTGACATCTTAGATTCCAATATCACTCTCAGACACATGGGAAGGTCATGTTTGCAAGGGGTTTCTGTTCCAGTTTGCAACTGAGTTCCTCTCCAAGCAAAACCAACTGTTGGATGTCACAACGTGAATGGTTGAATGGTTGGTGCCAGGGTCCTCTTTGCACCATAATTTCAATATGATGAAGTTATGGTGACCAGGGGTTCTCTTTAACTCCACTAATGGAGTCTTTAGAAAAACAGGTAAAGGTGGCTGCAGTAAAACAAACATTTTGGAAAATGTTAAAGGTCAGCTTAGTGAAGAGGTAGTGATGGTCAGAAACTAACTGTGGTTGAGGAAATTTGCACAAATATAATAGCCGACTCCATTACCAAGGAATTCAAGAATATTTTCAGTTTGGAACAGTTAAACATGTAATTTTTTTATTTGCTACAAAATTACTTTTCTGGAAAAGAAAAGCCCTTCATATATCAGTGAGAGTTATCACATTAAGATAATTAAGTGAAAAAGATAAGTTGTGCAAATTTTATATCTTTATAAAAGACTGTTTTTCAGTTACAATACTAGATAATTGCTCATACATGTGATATAAAATTAAATCCGCAGATTCACAATCCTGTCTGGTTTAATACATTTATTTAAAGTTCCTTTTGTGAGACTATGCTAAAAATGCAATACATTTTCTACTCAACATGAATATGCAAATATGTTCTAATTGAAGCAAGGTAATATTCCATCTTTCACAGTCTGGTTAGGTCAAGACATCAACGCACTCAGTGGGTATGCATTGAGAGTAATGGATGAACTCCAAAATGTATTATCTTATGCTGGATAAGTAAAATGTTTCAAACAAACTGCTGCCTTCATTAATGGCTTTTCACTTTCTATGGCATACAAAAAAGGTTCCAGAGTGTCAGAAAATAATTTTGAAAGGCTTGCACATAGAAGCATGTCCAACATTTCATCGTTTTTACATAATGTCAAGATTGTTTATTCACAATATGGTGTGTTAGAATCGATTTTGAGACACGCTGCCAAGCAGTCTAAAACATCTGAAATTGAATTAAAAAGTTCATAATTAGGGAAGTCTAATTACATGGGAATTAGAAGTGCTAATTATTTCTCACCCCCAACAACTGCATCCAGTTTTATGGTGGGCAGAGTAAAAGGTGACAGCTAGTGACTCGACTTGCATAACTGGGGCTGCCCAAAGGCGTCTTTGTCCAATGAGCTCACTGCATGGTCCTAGTGTCTTTACTGTAGAGCGGCCACTTCTAATGATTTGATTATGCAAAATTTTATGGGGACACCAGGAACAAAGTCAGGACGAAGGGACTAAAATAGGGATCGCCCTGTCAAAATCCGGTCTGCATTTACTTACAATTCTTCAAATTCCTTTTTGCATTAAGTTGGTGTTAAAATACATTGCAAAGACCATGGGTTTAAAAGGAAGCACAATTGTGATGAATCAAGTAGACTCCACACTCTGTATTTGCCAATATTGGGGTTTCCATGAAAGAGATATTTACAGAGGAGGCCTAGTTTAAAAGACATTATACAACACATTATCACACTCTATATCCTCGCACCATTCATTGTCATTTATATTTTCTAGATCGTAAGCTCTTTTGAGCAGGGTCCTCATCAATCTATTGTTTATGTAAAATGTTGTCATTTTGTCATTTATTGTTAAATTTCTATCTTTAGAATATTTTAAAGTGCTGCGGAACAAGTTCACGCTATATAAATGACAATGATAATAATAATACACTTACAGTGGCACTTGGACATGGCCCTCACTGCTTTACATTTAATGTATGTAATATATAAGAACATATGTTTGCGTACAACGTAAGTGAAGGAATATTTAAGCATGTAATATCTAAATACATGTAACAAACTGCAATAAACAATCAGCCCATATCTACATCTTGTGAACATGGATATCTGCTAAATATTTATTGTAGTTTGCTAGGACGGAGACCAGGATGACTGCGTCATGCTGCAAACATCTTTGCTACGCAGCCCTGGTAGATCATGTGCACAATATCAGTACATCCTGTTCATGGTTTAGTAAAGCGCTCCCATTCTTTCGTGTCCACATTCTGTTAATTTGTGTGCAATATATATCTGTATCGTGGGAATGGTTTACTAAATTGTGTGCATGCTTCAAAAAAAATAAAAATACTTTGTGACGCCTCCAGGGCTCTGTATGCCAGATACTGCACTCCTGGTTCCTACACTTTACAGGTGATGGAGAGCTGCTCAAGATAGGTGCTCCAGAACAGGGGGCTTGCCCAAAAGTATACTTGCAAAACAGAAGAAGAGCTGGACACTCCAAAAGCTTTTAGAAGTGACAATGTTTTGGCCATGAAAGGCCTTTATCAATTCTTGGACATAACATAATTTTTGGGTTAACTAGTAACGCATAAAAATACATACATTTAATTTATTCATTAAATAATTTGCCAACAATCCTTTTATATATTTTGAAAGTATACACAGAATATTGCACTTGCAATCATCAATGAAGAAAAAAAATGTTCTTTCAAATCCATGGAAGAATTATTCAGGAGAAAAAGGCATTTATTGTTTGAGATGCATCATCTGTGTGCTAACAGATTCGCCATAAACTCAATGCACAAAGGTCACAGGCAACCGCCCATAAACACAACACACCACAAGCAGCTACCCCACACACATACAGAAACAAACATACACATGTTCACAGGGACATACTTCTACACACAAGGATACTCAATGTCAAACACACACTCTCAGATACATGCACCGGTAGACAATGCCAGACACACTCAGAAATACACACAGCCAGATACACATTGTGACGGATTGTCTGTATTTGTTACTGCGTGTGCCTCTGTGCATTAGTGTGTTTGTGTATGCACGTGCATGTACCAGAGTGTGTATATGTGTTTGTGTCTTAGCGTGTATATGCGTGTGTGTAACAAGGTATATATGTGTTCATGTATTAGTGTGTGCGTCACATTGCATTGGCTGCAATGTGAGGGAGGTTTGGTACAGGCAAAGCAAAGGTAAAGTGGCAACATAGATCATATACATACATACAAAACGTGGGGAAACACATAGAAAGAACATATAGGATATATCAAAAGATATATGTGAAAGTATTATAGAATATGTGGGGAAAATGTCTATGACAGTGTTTTCTTATCTGTAACTTTATTATTTGGTAAATAATTTTTTTTTTTAATCTGTTTTTCTCAATCAAAAACTTTATTTCTGTTTAAAATAATTCCTTCTCACTGTCACTTATGTGTACACCACTGCCAGACTATACAACCATACCGGGCAATAGTGTATTAACAATTAGCGTAATTGCAAATTCGATTTGTTTATTGTAATTCATTTAGTTTGCTAATTATGCCATAACTACAGTCAGCGAGCTCACAACACAGTATCACAGGGAGCCGCGACACTGCAAGCTTCTGAACAATGAATACAGAGACTAGCAAGCCCGCCCTTCAGTATAACTACAGCTCTTTATAGAAAAGAGTGTAGGAGCACTAGGTATAAAGATTAACAGGCAAAAAGAGGGCTTAAACCTATATATGGTAATTGCAAAAACAAGAGCAGAACAGAGAGGCACTGACCATCTAGTATTAGGCAGTAACTTACATTTTAAATTAAGTTTTAAACCCTTACTGTCTAATACTAGCTGGTCAGAGCCTCTCTGTTCTGCTCTGGTTTTACAGTTCGTTAAACACATACAATGCAACTTCTATTTTGTTTCCACTATGGGTGTTTGTGAAGCCTTAGGCGAAAACCAAACAGGAGGCCCACACTAAGTCTAGATGCGCTACAGATTCACCAACAACATGGAGCTCCTAAAAAAGAGGGACATTATGATTGAAAAGAGGGACAGAGGGACTTGGGTATAAAATAGGGAATGTCCATCTTAAATTGGAACACTTGGGAGGTATCATGTACACAGAGAAGTGAACCAGTGCTTCTGAACCTAAAATAATTTGCAGAGTCGTCCCAAGATTACATGGCACCTAGGGTGAAACTGATCCTGTAATGCAGTCCAGCGAGGCCATACTATAAATAGAGACAGGTGGGAAGGGATGATCTGTACATCATTCTCTCACCTGTCACACGGAATTGATCACCCCTCCCCCACGTGTTACAAAATTTAGATTCAAGATTTATTTATACATTCAAGACAATTTTAGAGTGTCACATGAGTCAAATACATCATGGAAGTAGCTCTGCCGACTTTCAACTATGGATTACATTCTTGTAGGTAAAATCTGTCCATTAATGCTGCACTCACTTCAAGCTGTGTATTTCCTCATATAATGCATATTTCTATCTTCTCTCTACTTATAAAGTTTTTTGTTTTTTTTTACTTTGACAATTTTTATTAATTGTTTATTTCAATGTCATTGATTAGTTGCTTCAGTACATCAGTACAGTCTTTTATTCCACTTTTCTGGTTGTTAACATCATACTAAACTTGCAAAACAGTATATTGCATCTACAATTTCTAGCTGCTCTTGTACTTGGAGATAGCGCAGTTCCCTGTCAAGGTGTACTGATTTTACATATCGTTCCTTGTGGGTGATGGCGGAATCTTTACTGTTCTTAGGGGGGTAGATGGGAGTATGGGAGGACAAGAACCAAGGGGTCGAGGGTGGGGGAGGGGAGGGAAAGGTGATCACTCCCTGGTACGAGTCTAGGGTCCGTGGCATGATGTGTCTGCCAGCTGGGGGGTTGCGCTACACTTTTTCAGCTGTGCCATATACCAGCTTCTGGATACGCCCTATCAAGGCGGGAGGTGTTTACGGGTGGTCAGCTTGTACCTCCTTTTGCTGTTAAGCTGTGTCATTGCATTTATTCCACTGGTGCTTTCATTAGTACATTCATTATCATGGTTCCTATTTTGAGGAACACAGCTGTCGGTTTGTAGGTGTCTGCGCGTGCTTTCTCACATAGGGGCAATTTGGAGTGCTCTAGATATTGGCGCCAGCTATCCCATGCATCTGACCAGGTTTTCTTGGAGTGAGAGGAGCGCCTGGCTACCTCGGTGGTTTCTAGTAATTGTATGCATTGCGTGATTGGGGACTGTTTGGCGGAATGCCAATGTCTGCTAATAACCGTTAAAGCAGCCATAAGTATATGGTAAATTAAGTATTTTTGCTTTGTGCGTAGGTTTATTGGAAATAGTTGAAGAAGGTATGTTTCAGGTTTGCGAGGTAGATGTGTGTTTGTGCTTTCTTGTATGATGGTGGTTACCTCTTCCCAGAAGGGGGCGAGGATGGGACATGTCCACCATATGTGGAGCATCATGCCTTTATGTTGCTGGCATCTCCAGCGTGTGTCTGAAGCAATGGGTGCACCGCCTTAATGCATGTGGGTACTAGGTCCCACCTGTATAGGATTTATGGGATAGCTCCATATGGGAGGCGCATTTAAAGAGTGAGCTATGTGCTAGTAAAATTTCCTTCCACTGAGATGGGTTCAGGGTGTATGTAAATTCTTTCTCCCATTCGGTAATGAATGGAAATTGTGAATGCATTGATTTGTAAATCACAGAGATTCGTTTTTGGGGGGTAGGAGGTGTGAGCAGATTTTTTTTCTACCACCGTCAGCTGTGGTTTCTGTACATCTCCAATCCAGGTTAACATTTGTTTAGTGAACCATGATATTATTTGTAAATGAGAAAAGGAAACCATTGTGTTAAGGTGGAAGGAGGCTTTGAGGTCCTCAAAGCTTCTAAGCTCTCGGCCCTGGAGCAGTTGATGTAGGTGTGTGATGCCGTATCGGTGCCACAGTGTATAATTGAAATTGGGAATTACATAGTGTAGTGTTTTTAGTGGTGTTGTGGGTAACGTTTTACCATTCCAACCTAGTTTGCTACAGTAGTTGTTCCAGACATGTAGCACCTTGGTGGGGAGCATCGAGCTGTTCGCAGGCCTGATGGGAATATTATTGGCATGGTTCGTTTCTAATACCGTCAACGAGAGTGGATGGTCTTGGTTGCATGCTGCTATTAATGGGCTCAAGATGGCTGCTCGGTAGTAATTTTTAGTACTTCCATCCCTTGCCCTGATTGCGGCATGTCTTAGCGTGTATATGCGTGTGTGTAGCAAAGTATATATGTGTGCATGTATTAGTGTGGGAGGTATGGTACATACATAATATACATACATACAAAATGTGGGGAAACACATAGCAAAAACATATAGGATATATCAAAAGATATATGTGAAAGTATTATAGAATATGTGGGGAAAATGTCTATGAAACTGTTTTCTTATCTGTAACTTTATTATTTGGTAAATTATTTTTTTTTAAATCTGTTTTTCTCAATCAAAAACTTTATTTCTGTTTAAAATAATTCCTTCTTACTGGTACTTTTGTGTACACCACTGCCAGACTATGCAACCATACTGAGCAATAGTGTATTAACAATTAGCGTAATTGCGAATTCGATCGGTTTATTGAGACTCTGGGTCTGCTTTTGTCCCAGATGAACTTCATTAGTATCAGTTGTGCTTCATGGAGGAAGTGGGGTGGAAGTTTTATAGGTAGGGTCCTGAAGAGATATTGCAATTTTGGCAGGACAACCATTTTTACCGCGGCTATCCTGCCTGACCAAGAGATGTATTTGCCCTTCTATCCCGTTAGCAAGTTCTTTATCTCGTGCAGTGTTTTTTGGTCATTTGTTTTGTACAGGTTTGTCAGTTTCAGGGTGAGGTTGATTCCTAAGAATTTAAGATGGTCAGTTCTCCAGTCATATCTGAAGGAGCTACGGAGGTTGTTTAGCTTATCTGTGAGGATATGTATGCCCATGGCCTGTGTTTTGGTAACATTCTACTTATATAGATTAACAGTGGGCACCTGTAGTTGATCAGCCAGGATAGATATCCAACCTGTCTTTTCTGTAAAAAATTGTGAGGAATGCTAAATAAGGGGTGTGTTGTGGGATTTACTCATTGTATCATGCATTACAGGGCAATGGTTAATTATACTTAACCTATAGTGCTTTCATGGATGGAGAGTCTTCAAACGCTCAGATGTTGCGGTATCCTAGATAATAGTGTCTAAGGTCCTTGAGATATCATAGTAAACTGCAAGGATAGAGTGGTTTAGAAATGTCTTCGGAACCCCAATACGGCATTATTTTCCCCTAATATGCACGTAACCATTCTGTATTTTTAAACATCACGTGCATTTTTGAGGACGTGGAATGATAAGTGCTTTGGCGGTAAGGTTAGTGTTAGAGTAGTGGTTAATTTAAGGTTAGTGTTAGAGTAGTGGTTAGTGTAAGTGTTCCTTTATTCGTCAGGCAGACTTACATGTCTCGTACTGTCAAAGTTTTGTGGAGTTTGTTGTCTCAGAATGGTGCTATTTGCAGCTGCTGCACTTGATGAATTGATGAATATAAAAGATTACATGTAATTATTTTGCAATGGATATGTGTGTTTATTATAGGTTAGTTTTGAGATGTGCCTGAGACAACAACAGATAAATAATGAAGAAAAGGAGGTGGTTCCAGGGCAAGACAAACCTCTCCATTGGGTGTACCACTGGCAGATAGTGGATGTGGCTCACATTACACAATCCTATCAGTGGCTGGAAAATGCAGGACTGAAAAACAGCACCGAGGCACTAATCCTAGCAGCACTAGAACAGGCACTCAGCACCAGATTAATTGAACCTGTGGTCTACCACACCAGACAGGACCCAAGGTGCAGAGTGTGCAAAGAGTCCACTGAGACAATCCAACACTTAGTAGCCATGTGCAAGATTTTAGCAGGGACAGCATACATTGAGAGGCACAACCACGTGGCTGGGATTGTGTACCGAAATACAGTTGCAAGAAAAAGTATGTGAACCCTTTGGAATGATATGGATTTCTGCACAAATTGGTCATAAAATGTGATCTGATCATCATCTAAGTCACAACAATAGACAATCACAGTCTGCTTAAACTAATAACACACAAAGAATGAAATGTTGCCATGTTTTTATTGAACACACCATGTAAACATTCACAGAGTCTGCCTGTCTGCATGTCACGGCGAGAAACGTGACACCCGGGACGGGTGAGAAAATCAAATATATATGTGTGTGTATGTACGTAAACATGCACAAATACAAGTATATATATTCTCTGTTTTCTAAAACATTAAAACATTCAACAAGGCCTGAACAGCCTTCCCAAAAAGTCTCAGTACTCTTAGAATACAATTTACTACTGTAAGAAGAATGTTCCAATTTTTCTCTTTCAGCAAGTCGTCAAATCAGATTGAACCCAACAACCTGCTTCCCATGGGGCCACTTAAGCTTGTTCTAGTTGTCATTTTTTTTTTTTAAATGTTAGAATTTGTGTTGCACTATTTGTGTGTTACATCTTTTAGCTTGCACTCAGCAAAGGCAACATGCCTCGTACATTGAGAATGTTTTAATGAGATTTGAACTGCGAGGAGTACGCGCCTCTTTTTTTGTGTGCAAATTTAATAAACATCATAAATTATGCAAGAACTGTAGGTTTATGGTTTTCATAAATTCTGATAAAAGATTCTTTTGCAGATAGTCGGACAGCCATTGCATTTGAAATCAGAGCATATTGATCCTTGACCTTCTAAATAATTTCTAATTTAAATAACCTTTGATAAAAGTTTTGTAAAATCAAAAAGTGTTTTTTTAGATTAAAACAATGTGTAATTAATTCCAACCATGGGTTGTTATTTGAATATTTTATTCTATTGCATTATTCCATGGTTATACGTTTTATAAACATGAGAAAAGCTATAATACAAATGTTGTCCAACGTTTTCTTTTAGTGTCACAATTTACTTTAGGTAATATTTATAACACATAGGAAACGATTAACACAATTGCAAAAAAAAAAAAAACAACCAACAAAGATGATGTTTTTGTAAATTTAATAGCATTTAGCATCCACTTAGCACAATCGATTTTATAAGATAACTGATTCTAGGCATGAACTGTTAAGTAAGTATTTTGAAAAAAGAGACAGTGAAGACACAACTGACAGATTTCCTATTCTAAAAAGAGAAAAAATGCTTTAATACATTATGAAAACACAAAGCTCCTAAGATTTAATCCCGAGAATAATAAGAAAGAAATACACAAATGTTCCCACTCAATGGTTACATAGTTACATAGTTACATAGCTGAAAAGAGATTTGCGTCCATCAAGTTCGGCCTTTCTCTCATATGTTTTTATTGTTGATCCAAAAGAAGGCAAAAAAACAGTCTGAAGCGCTTCCAATTTTGCAACAAACTAGGAAAAAATTCCTTCTTGACCCCAAACTAGCAGTCAGATGTCTCCTTGGATCAAGCAGCTATTACCCCACTAATTAGAAATCATATCCCTGTATGTTATGTTTTTGCAAGTATTTATCCAATTGCAGTTTAAACATCTGTATGGACGCTGATAAAACCACCTCTTCAGGCAAAGAATTCCATATCCTTATTGCTCTTACTGTAAAAAAACCTTTTCTTTGTCTTAGATTAAATCTCCTTTCTTCCAGCCTAAATGTGTGGCCTTGTGTCCTATGTATAGCCCTGTTTATGAATAGATTTCCAGAAAATGGTTTGTACTGGCCCAGAACATATTTGAATAATGATATCATATCCCCCTGGGGCGCAGTTTTTCCAAACTAAAGAAATTTAAATTTTTTTAACCTTGCTTTGTAACTAAAATGCTCCATTCCTTTCATCAATTTGGTAGCTCGTCTCTGCACTTTTTCTAGTGCCATGATATCCTTCTTTAGAACAGGTAGCCAAAGTCTCACAGCTTATTCAAGGTGTGGTCTAACCAGCGATTTATAAAGAGGCAAAATTATATTTTCATCCTGAGAATTTATTCCCCTATTTATACACAACAAAACCTTACTGGCCTTAGCAACTGCAGACTGACATTGCATATTGCTGCCTAATTTGTTGTCTATAACAATTCCCAAATTCGTCTTGTGTGTTGTTATCCCTAATTCACTACCATTTAGGGTGTACGTTGCTTGTGAATTCTTGACCAGCAGTGCATAACTTTGCATTTCTCTACATTAAATTTCATCTGCCATTTTAGTGCCCAGTCCCCCAATCTACCTAAATCCCTCTGCAGCAAAGCAATATCCTGCTCACATTTTATTACTTTACAAAGTTTTGTGTCATCTGCAAACACTGATACATGGCTTTCAATGCCTATTTCAAGATCATTTATAAATATGTTAAATAGTGATGTCCCGAACGGTTCGGGAACGGTTCGCCACGGACTCATCATTGAGTAAACTTTGACCCTGTACCTCACAGTCAGCAGACACATTCCAGCCAATCAGCAGCAGACCCTCCCTCCCACCTCCTGGACAGCTCACTAAGAATGCAGCTTCACAATGAATGTAAAATGGATGCTGTCCAGGATGTGGGAGGGTCTGGGAGGGAGGGTCTGCTGCTGATTGGCTGGAATGTGCCTGCTGACTGTGAGGTACAGGGTCAAAGTTTACTCAATGATGAGTCCGTTCGCAAACCGTTCGGGACATCACTAATGTTAAATAGAATTGGTCCCAAAACAGAACCCTGAGGGACACCACTTACCATTTTTGTCCAGCCTGAAAATTTACCATTAATGACAACTCGTTGTACTCTATCCTTAAGCCAATGTTCTACCCAAAAACAAGAATATTCATCTGGACCAGTGATGGCAAACCTGTGGCACGCCGGGTCCTCTCTGTGGGCATCTGACCATATGTCGCCGGGAGAGGGGGCCTCTGGATGTCTGCAGAGTAGGCACCTGCCTGCCCGAAATGGCAGGCGCCTACTCTGCTTCCTTGTTGGGAGGACAGGGGGAGGGCTTTAGGAAGCAGCTCTCCTGTCCTCCCGCGCGATGCTGTGTCGAGCATTGCCGCGCGTTACCATGGCAACGCTCCACACAGCATCGCGCGGGAGGACAAGAGAGCTGCTTC